TAAGATTATTAAAGATCAATGATAAATTTTTTAAAATTACAAATTTTAATTTTAATTTTTTTATAAAAGTAAAATCAGAAATAAATTTATAGTAAATAAGCTAATAAATTTATTTGCAACCTTCTACAATCTAAAGAATAGTATATATAATATAATATATCTAATAAATTTTAACTAGTTATTATAATAATATATTAATTCACTTCATTTTTAATATTTATCATCATAGTTACGTGATAATTCTTTTTTATCAATCTTTAAATAGAATGTTGATTTTACTAATTAACAATATTATAAACTTGAATATTACTTTAAATATGAAGATTTAATGGGTATAGTACAAAATCTCAAAATCCAAAATCTCGAAAAACAAAAATCTCGAAACTCAAAATCCAAAATCTTGAAATCCAAATTCTCGAAATACAAAATCCTGAATGGTCAGAAAAATTACTTTGAATTAGTATGTCGCAGGTGAGTCGTAGGAAATTACTTTTGAATTAATAATATATGCCGCGGATGAGATTAATAAAATAGTTTTATAAGTTGATAGGGAAAAACTTTATTGATAAACTTATTAAAATCATTCATAATATATAAATAATGTAATAAATATAAGTAATATTTATTAGGTAAATTCAATTTAAATAAAATAGAATAGAATTACTGGAAAAGCTTAACAGGTAAACATTTCTTAATACTCAGAATTATAAATTCAATTCGATTACAATTAATGACAAAGCGCTTTTAAATTAATTTCCGACTTTATTTGTATAAGTATAATAATAAATATAACGAAGCAGAAAAATCCTTATATTTTATTAAAATACAAACTTTTCATTAATAAATTACAGTATGAATTATTCTCTCCTAGTATATTGCACTAGAGGATTTTTAGGTAGAACCATCATCGTAGTAAAATCACATTCCGGAAACTTATTTTCATGTAAAACAAGATCATACATTCTAACAAATACGGCAAGAATAGTTTTAATTTGTAAGTAAGCAAATGGTTCGCCAATACATCTATGTCGACCTGTTCGTAATAAAAAATTGTTATAATAAATTATTTTTATTTTTACTTTTTTAAAAAAAAATAATAAATATATAGGTTAATTCTTACCGGCACCAAATGGAAGGAAAGGAGATTTCGCGCTAGCGGAGTGTAAAACACCGAAACCATAATCAACCAAATCATCATCTCTCTCCTTATTAAGTTGATCGAAATCGATCCACCTATTAGGATTAAAAGTTTCAGCATTTTCAAAATAATCTTCAGAACGTTGAGAAATAGTAGGTAAAGCTTGAATAAAAGAATCTTTTGGTATAACATATTGAGTACCAGGAATAGGTAAATCTTTAATAACTTTTCTAATAATAGTGAGAATAGGGGGACGCAATCTAAGAGTTTCTCTAACAACATTATCATGAAGTGTAAGTTTTTTAATCCCATCAAAAGTTAATGATTCATCTAAACTTCCTAACACGTCAATCTGTTCTTGACGCAACTCATTAAATAGAGATGGTTGAGCTGCTAGGTAAAGCAATGCCCACGCAGTTGTGGTGGATGAAGTATGTTGTCCTGCCATTAACATTGCGATCATGATATGAGCTGATTCTTCATCAGACAATTTTCTGCCGTTCTTGTATTGACAATTGGTTGTTAAATATTGCATAATATCCGTACGATCCGTAACTCCTTTTTCTCGACGATCTTTCATGATATTCATGAAGAAATGACGCATTTTAACATGAGCTATATCTCTTAATTTATTTGATTGAAGCGGTAAATCTTCAAACAAGAAATTAATTGGTTTAAATCCACCATCCAAATCATGAAAGATTTGAGCGACTATCGGAAGAAGAAAAAGAAATAATATGGTTAAATTATTTTTTTGTAAAAAAGATCTCGTAACATTTCGATCGTCCACTTACATGATTCATCTAATTTTGAGCGAACTTCATCACCCAACAAACACCTAGATGCTGTCATGATAATTAATTCAGCTGTTGCTTTATGTATATCTTGAATATCTGATGTTTTATTCCATCTTGAAAAATAATTTTTAGTTTCCATTTCAATCATTGGTACATATGCCTTTAAATTTTCATTAGATAATCCAGATTTAACAAATCTGTTCATAAAAAAAAGTAGCAATTTTTTTTTTTTTTTTTTTTTTAATAAAAAAATTCATTTAGATGTTTTTTTTTAAAAAATAAAAAAAAAAAAAATTACTGACTTTTTTTGTTCCATAAGTACTGAATTATGTACATCATATACAACTCCTTTGCCAAATACGGGCACAGTTAAAGATTTGTAAGCATCTTCAGCCGATGCATTTGCTAATTTCGCATTAAATACAAAATTATTTCCTTCAGTTCCTAAACACGTTACCATTCTTCTACCTAGTAATATAAATGTAAAATAATTTCCATACTAAAAAAAAAAAAAAAAAAAAAAAAAAAGATTAATCAAATTTCTTATAGCATTCTAAAGGTAAGTAATAAACCTTACCTTTTGTTGATATTTTCTGTAAAATTTAATCGGATCTCTTCCCATAGTTACAGCCGAACCAAGCATAGGAATCCAATAAGGTACAATTGGCGGTTCATTTGGTTGACGTCTAACATACTGTATTATCAATTCAATTGAATAAATTATTTGAGCAAATGGGTAAATAATGAATATAATATATTAACATTTGAATTGATATACTTACGAGAATTGATTTAACAGCATAAGATAACAGTATGACCAAAATTGCAAAACCAACACTTAAAAATAAAATTGTATTAACTGAAGCTTCTTTAATTAAGGGAGCGATCAATTCATTTCTTTGTGCTGTCGCATTTGCATGATATACAAATGGTAACAAATAATCATTATAAAATGTATCTGAAATCGAATCCGTTGCCGACATAATTTCTCCCCTCAAAAAAAAAAATAAAAAAAATAAAAATTGGTTGGATATTTAGAAAGAGCGAAAAAAAAAAAAAAAAAAAAATTTTTTTCGGTTTAAATATTTATTTGGTTGTACTAAAAGAAATAGAATAGGAATAGATCAAAAAAAATTTTCGTTGTCATACATGTGAAAGATCCCGATAAGTTTAAGTCATGCATAACCTTCTTTACAAATTGTAACTCATGGAACGCCAAGAGAGCGAATTTGTAACGCATTTATATTTATTTGAATTATTGAAAATTTGGATGTTTCCCTCCGAAGAAATGTAGCCCCATCAATAATTAATTAAACGGGTTAAACGACTAAAACTCCCAACCCATTGTATTCCAATAATGACTAAACCGACAAACTTTATCGATTCCCAATCTCTAAATAATGCAGTTGCAGAACAATTAACAATTACTAATTCAGGAAACACCATTATTAACATGTATAATCACCTGTGATTACGTAAAGTTTTTTTATTATTGACGTTTTATGCTTAAATTGATGGATGATATTACATATAGACCCTTTCTATCACTCTATTATGAAATAAAAATAAAGGTAAAAGAACAGGATCATGATGACTATGTGAATATGTGTACACGATTACACACAATGAAACAATGAAAACTTATCTACAAAAATGGAATCTAAATTACTGTGGAGTTACCAAACATTAAAATTTGGTTCAAATGTGTCAAAAAGAATCCCGTTATTAAACTGATTTGACATTGTTTCATAAACAGGATTTGGAGTAGGGGGGTGGGAAAATTGTTGAACGATGGTATTATTGTTCCTTCTTAAACAAAGGTTTTGAGTAGCATTATATAAATTTTTGTAGACATCCTTCTCTTCATTTGAAGCAGCGCTCCAATAAATACCAGCTGCTTTGAAAATAATCCGCATATGTGTTTGATTCCCCAATACGTTTGCCGCTTCCTTAACATTTTGGCAGCAGAAAAAGAAACATGTTCCTTTTACGTAAAATCTTTGTTGTGCGTGTTGCGTTTCAACACAAATAAAATCTTCTGGCCTAGTATGATAAGTGGGAGGAAAGATTTTGCTCCTATCTAATCTCGAGATTAACGCATAAGCTAGTTCTTGTGTAGAGAAGACAAGTTGTTGATGATAGCGAGACATTTTTTTTTCTTTTTTATTTTTATTTTTTTCTTTTCGTACCGTCAAATAGTAAGAATGGCTTTGGAAAGAGAAGGTTAACAATGATGATTTACAGTTTTATATATATTCAACTTGCTTTGTTATCTATATTTGTAATATTAAAAGACATAACAAAGATCACACAGAATATTTAAGGTAATTTAAACAAAGCGAAATACACATTTATTGAAATAGGTACTTTGTATGATTATATCAATTCAGTTAGTTGGGAATTATTCTTCTTTTTACTTCCTCGCCGAAGAGATGTATGATGCAATTGTTAGTGTTTGTGTCACAAAATCATATGATTGATCGATTGATCGATTAATCTAAAAAAAAAAATTTTTTAAAAAAAAAGTTGAATATTTTTTTAATGTTTTCGTTAAGACACAATGTATGTCCTTTTCGACGATATTTTAATTCATCATCAATATCAAAAATCAATTTCACTAGTACTTTAAGTGGGAATTTTAAATATCATGAATATGTAGTTAAAGAAGATGATGATGTAGATATGATGAGACTTGATCGATATTTACATTTACAAACAAAGCTTCCAATTTCTATAATTCAAAGGAAAATTCGAAAAAATGAGGTATATTATCCAAATATATTTTGGTCTAACTTTCCGTTGTTAATTTTAAATTACCGATTTTCCTTCTTTTTTAGGTAAAATTAAAACCACGAGTGCATGAAAGCACAGATTTAAATAATGATGGGGTGAAATCACATAAAGTTTTATCACATAAAGTTCGTCCTGGTGATGTGGTTTCAATAAGAAGTCTTGATTTATATAAGGAAGCAAAATTTGCCAAACCTAAAAGACGTAAGACAGAGGTAGTCTTTTAATTTT